TCGGTTGACGCAGTGTTGCTCTGTCAACAATACCCCAATACGCCGTAATATTACGGCGAAACAATTGCATTAAACATTTCGTATAATAATATTTGTTTGGCATTGTATCTATTTTCCCGTTCTCGTTTTTGGTTTTTTCCAACATATCGAGAAAACTCCTGAGATTATCAAAAAACTACCTCCTTTAAGTACTTCTCCAGTCAAATTTACTTTCAGAAAAAGTGCTACACTTGTAAACCGGTTAAAATATTTCTGGTAGAAAAGTTGTAATCAGGTAAAAAAATAAAAAAAATAAAAAAAATAAAAAAATAAACATCATTGTAAAACCATAAGCTTCGTCGTTCCACTCAGAATCTAAAAATAACTTTAAATTTCAAAAAATTGACACTCGCGTTAAAAAAAAAAAGATATGTTTATACTTTACATTTTTTTCTCATTTATAACCGATCAATACACAATAAATAATTAAATATATCACTGTACATACACCTATAATTGTGTTGCGATGTACCCGCATTAAAATACAATATTCCGTTAACTTAAAAGTAAAAGTTTAAATTACCGACCTGCTAAAAATTATTATTGTTTTTTTTTTTATGGTCCTTTGTCTTACTGGGGATATTTTATTTTGTTACGTCTTCTTTACGTATGTAACTGACGATTATCCGGAAATAGATATTGGCCGCACGCGAAAAATACCGTAAATCGTAAGAAAACTGCGAAGTTTCGAAGCGTCCGAAACCACTGCCGTTCCAGTTTTGGTGGCGTAACGCCACGTTTTATATCAAGCCGACTGAACGGCAACATTCTGTCTCGCGACAAAATGGAAACATTTCCGCGACAAAAGCGATTCCGGCGACACAGTGTCCGTGTTTCTGGAGACGTTTTTGTGTCCGCTAAAAAACGGCGAATATCAAAGTGTTTCTGTTCTGTTCCTGTTTTTGGAAACACGTCGTGTGTATTCGGTGCAAACGGGTGTTGCGGCACCCGACAAATAGCGATTGTTTGTATCATTTTTACCCGAAAAAGTCGCGTTTAAAAATATCATTGTGTGTATGAAATATATACCAGCGGTTGTAATAATATCTATCGCCGCTGTTTGGCGTCATTATTCTTATCATTAGGTACTGCTATACGTTTCGATGTATTCAATAAAACATTGTACGCGCGTGCACGATTCGGGAGAAAGAATAAAAAATAAAAACTAGAGATAGTGGGAGAGCGAGAGAGAGGAAGCGAAAAAAAATGGAGAGAAAAGCGTCGGCAGCCGGTCGGCGATTCGGCGGCCCTCGCGATAACCTCTGCGACGGGACGCGATAAAAACTAATGGCCGCGCGCGACGACGGCACACGGTGTTGCGTTGAACGGTGGACGCGGACGAAAACGAGAAGAGAAAAAAAAAAAAAAATTCAAACCGCGACCAACGTCCGAACTCCGGAGAATAGACCGGAGTGTACAGAACATAAAAAAAAAAAAAATAATAATAATAATAATAATAATAATCGATGTTCAATAACAATTATTGTAACACTCGTACTGCACGGATCGTAATAACTATTACACGATAACCCCCGACGACGTAATCTCGCATCTCTCGGAGGCCCGCGACAACCGCCGCCGGCCCCGTTACGTTGCACGTTATATTATACAACGATATTGTCGTATAAAAACCGTTATGTATTTTGATATTTTCGATTCTGAGCGACACACGGCGGGAACGTGTACACATCGTACCGTCGGTTTTACTGTACGACGCGCGGTTTCGCGCCCGCCGTAAACACACCGCACTGTTTTCTACCCGCAAATATCGCGTTCCGATTTTCTCGGTTTTCGGATTTTCGGTTTTTCTTAATTAACGGGAAAAAACTTTATCGTTTTACTTCTGGCACAATTCTCCCTCCGATTTCCGGGTCACTCGCATTGACGACATGGGAAAAAATACGACTTATGGTACTCTGCTCAGAATCGTTTTTCGTTAGCGACCGTCTATCGTTGTGCGTGCACGTATATGGACGGATAAACTAGTCAACCGTTTCCCGATTTCCATATCGGCCACCCTCCCCCTCCCCTATAGATTTCACCGAATAATAGGTTTACTCGTACAGTTTTACAAAGAAGTTTATACTTCGGTTAGTAAAAATGCTCCGTTTTTGACACGCAGTGCCTTCAAAGACGCGAAATCGCTGTCAGCAGTGACACTATAAATTTGAAACGATTTTCTAGATTCCCGATAGATTTTAATTTTTTTTAACAAAAAATAAACAAATAAACTCCGCAACGAACGACTAGACTTATTATTATTTTTATTGTTTTGATTTCTGCGTTATACCTTGGCTACAATTAGGGGCAAAAGACACGACCCGGATCTCATTAGTTTACAGAGCTCCGTTCGGAACCGTTTACATTTCTTGTTGCAAGGATTTATCGTTATTTTTCAATGTACTCGTATAATATTGTAAAGTAAACGACCTTATATTATCCCGTACACCACCCCCGCGACTTCCCACGCATACAACAGATAGTGGCCTACCCACCGCGCGAAATACGTCCGTCGTTCAATTTTACAATTTGTTTTCTGCATACGAAGCGACTTTTTTATTATTATTATATTCATTAAACTGTGTATATCTATTGTTTATTTTTTACGATTATTCTTTTTTTTTTTTTTTATGGTTTTTTGATTTAAAACCGACCGCGGTGGCGCAATAAACACAACAATCATAAAAGAAAAAAAAATAATAATATTATATAGCCGGCGATGGATACCTATATATTATATATTTATATACTTACCTGTAATAATATATTGTATAATAGTACTGCAGGAGCGACGAAAAAAACCACACGGGGGTAAAACGATTTTCCATCAACCTCGACAATTTTATTAATTTCGGGCTTTAGATTATTATCATTATTTTTTTGTTACCATTATCAACTCGCCTATATTATTATAATACACACGACCCGTCCTACCGGGTTCGGGTTACCTGCGGAGTGCCGCGCCGAGGAAAACAAAAACGCATCCCCTTCGACGTTTCACGCGAAACCGTCGACGCACCTACTTAATTAATATAACTTTTTATTTTCTTCGTCTTGGTTTTTATTCCACCGCAAGTGATATGCATTCACGGGGTCTGCATCCTCTATCATTGTTGCCCTCCACATCATTTCTGTCGCCACGGTTTCCCCTATTGTTTTCCGGCACCTCTGTAAAGAATCGTTTTTTTCGTTCTATACCTCCCCCCCCTGTCCCGAATTTTTCACATCGTTAACACTATCGCCTCACCTTTATCTTTTATCTCGTCGCTAATATATTTATAAGTACATGGATAGGACGTCCCTATAATTAAGCCGTGGTCGCACGACGACAGTAGTGCGTGATAGTTGCTCTTGTGAAAGAATATGATCATTTGCTATCACTATCACTATTAGTTGTTTATATGTTTGTGCAACTGTTTGACAGTAAATTTCCAAAAAAATATGATAACCGTCTATTATAATGTTATCATAATCACTTTATTATATCGATGGGTACCTAATATTATTATAAAAAAAAATGAAGGCAAAAATTTGCGTGATACTGTTAATGTTATATCATGCAGTTCTCACAGTGAAAATACTATCATTATCACACACTATCAATAACCATGTACGCACGAATGTGAAAATAAATTTGTGACAGTAACTGTCGTTAAGTTCATACGGTGACACTTTCGTGAGAGCTTCTATTACGAGAACGATTAGTTTTGGTTTATAATAAAGAAATACATTTTATCGATTTGCTGTCTGTGGCTCTCGGTTGATTTTTTAAATTAGACTAACTCCTTAGTTATTGAGGTATTTATTTAATTTTAAAATCAAAAGTAAAACGGTTTGCAAGTGTGATTCGAAAGACTAACGAACAATCGAAAATTAGATCTAAATTCACTCATTTTGTTTCATTCGACATTAATAATGACGTCACGGGTTTTCATTCGCGTTCTGTTGTAATTATTATTATATCAAAAATGTATTTGTTTTATTTTGAAAAGAACGTAAACAATGATCGTGTGTTTGATGATACGCGAATATTATTGAATTTTATAAAATATTACCTAACAAAATAACAAGTTTTTGAATCGTTTCACCCATTATCAACACTCGGCTTACCACTTTGGTGACGAATACACACTTCGAGCACATTCGAAACAATAGCACGCCCTGTGCACGTTTAAACGCTATGTATGACTATCGCCTCGCCTTCAATAATCTACACGATCTAGTGCCGTCTATCATTTTCTATCGGGACACGATATTTCTGTCTCTCTCTCTCTCTCTCTTTCACTGCGTATATGCGTTTCTCTCTCTGCGTGTGCGTTTTAGCAAAATTCGATTTTGATTTCGTAAACTCGTCCACGGTGGAAAATACGCGGAAAACGAATCCGCTGCGGGTTAGAAACCGTACTTACCGTCGTACAGTGTCCCCTGACCCGACCCTACGGGCGTACCGCTGACGTTTTGACCGCACACACGTGATTCGAATTCGCTCGCGAACACGACACTCGGATCGTTAGGTTAGGTTTTTTTTTTTTTTTTTTTTTTTGGACCTGTTATCAGCGCAAGTGGGTATACATCATAACAATATTGTAACCATATTGTAGTCGGTTATTATGACGTAACGCGACAACCTTCTCGGACTGCGGCTACCGCGATAATGGCGTACACGTTGCAGCCGCGACGTCGTGTCCCCGGCCCAGTCGACTCGCCGGAGGTCTCTTGTGTACGTAATTTAAATGCACGTCGACATCACCGTCGTGCGTGTGGTGTTCGATGTCGTTTCGCACCTAAGCGCCTGCACGTGTATACAATACAGTAAAATGTTGTAACACGGTTTGCCCGAAACGATAATTTCACACCCGGACGAAAAATACGCCCGCAGTAATCGACTGCGACATTTGAACGTAAATATACGCGACGGTTTAACGCCGAACCCCGCAATATTGTAAAACATAAATAATAATATCGTATTTATTTATTTTTTTTTTTCTCAAAGAAACATACAGTTTTTTTTTTTTTTTACACAATCAATTAATTAATAACAAAACATCGTATTTTTTATATACACACATTACGAATTCGCCGACACGCGTGTCGCGTTGGTCGCTGTACATTTCCGCGGACTGAAAACAAAGAAAACGTTACACGACCGTGATGTTCACGGTTTATTAAGGTAAGCGCGAGATTCAAATGCGTTTTCTCATTGGTCGTCGCCGATGCCCAAAAGAGTTTTGATGCTGAAATCGGTGAGGTTGGCGTTTTGCGGGGCCGTGTCGCGGGCGGACGCGGCCACCGAGGCGATATGAGTGTTGCCGGCAATCGCCTGGTGTCTCTGGTACCGGTACCATTGGCACTGCGCGTTCTTCCGGTGACTGATGAGCGTGCGCATCTGACAGAATCCCTTGCCGCAGGACTCGCAAGAGAACGGTTTGTCCTTCATGTGCACGTATCTGCGAAAGGAAATTATTACGGTACCGTTGAAAAAAAAAAAAAAAAACGACGGACATATTTCACACGATGGGCGGACCACTGTTGTATAGGTGAAAAAAATGAAAGAAACGGGGAAAAAAGCAAGGGTATAGAGGGGAACGCGACGCGCACATCTGTACGCAACGATTAATCTTGGATAACGAAACACGATTCTGAGCAAAGTCCGATTACATATACATGTACATTTAAAAGCCCGTATAATATTTACGGTTTAAAAATAGTATATACTCCCCGTACGTTTTCCCATTTATTATGCAAATCCCAGGGAAAATGGAAAAACGACCCGTTCGAAGTACCGACCCAGTCATATTTCCTATTCGGGAAAACCGCTATAATTGAAAATCGGAGCGAAATCGCCGGTAGAAAAATCGTCCACAGAGGAAAAAAACAAAACAAACAAACGTTGTAAAACTGACATGTTCCGCTCAGAATCTCGAAAAAACGGCTGGCGATAGGTGCGGCGCGCGTTACGAGTGTTGTTCGTATAACGGACTCACTTGTGATCTCTGAGGTGGTCCTGGCGGCGGAACGCCTTGCCGCAGACGTCGCACGGGTACGGTCTCTCGTCCGTGTGCGTCCGGACGTGTATGAGCAGGTTGTACGACTTGCTGAACTCCCGGTCGCAGTACGTGCAGATGTACCGCTTCTTGGGCTTGCCGCCCGGCGTGGTGGCGACGGCCGCGGTCAGGGCCCGCGGCGCCGTCGGGCGACCGCCGTGGGCCTGGCGCTGTTGCACCATGCACGCCACGGTCGTGGTGGTCATCTGTTTCTGGACGTTCCGGGACAGGGCCATGGCCCGGATGTAGCTCTCCATTTGATGGTGGTGGTTGACGGCGCCGACGGGAAACGCGCCGGGATACTGCCGGAACCTGGCCCACACCGCGTCCACGTACACGGCCGGGAAATGGTCCAGCAGACCGACGCCGCCGCCGGCCGCGCCGAAGCGGGCGGCAAAGTTCAACGGTTCTCCGGTGGCCATCGCGTAACGGTTTCGGTCGCAGGAGTTCTACAGGTACCTGTGAAATCGCGTCGATTACGTGAGTACGTAATATACAATAAAATGCCGTAAACGTAATAATAATAATAATAACGTAACTCCCGTCGTTTATTAAGCGCGTGCGTACGTTCGGTCATTATTCGGCCGGCGGGCTTACGAATGAAAACGGAAAAAAAAAAAAAAAACGTATGTTGGCCGCGGCTACCTGCCGACGTTACGCCGTCCGGGCGGGTAATACGCGTTCGGTAATAACCGTTTGCGACGACCGGGGGTACGGTCGTAATGAAGGGTCGTCGAAAACCGCGCCGGGAAGAGCCCGGAAAAATGGGTTATTTGTAATAATACACGGACGGCGGCGGCGGACTTTGGGTCGTTTTTCGAATCGAGTTAAATTTTGATTGCCCGGCCGCGGGTCGGACGGGACCCCGTACGCGTCCTGTATAATACGTACTGCGGGGCGGATTGCTGTGAATCCGGACCCCGCGTATACTTGTGATACGGGTAAAATGGGTGTACGTGTACGAATAAAACGAAACGTGTATTTATACGGGTAATTCGGGTAAACGTATATAAAAATAATATCGTATACGTATATAATTTTCGTAAACGTTTTTATTAACGGGTAAAATAAAAAAAAAAAATAAAAAACGTTTGTAATTTGGTTTTTTTTTTCCCGGTTTCAGCACAGATAACATTAAAGCGCACTATGACGTGTGTGTATAATCAAACAGGTGATGGATTTATTATTGTTATTATTATTATTTTTTTTTTTTCGTACGTAACATCCGAAAACTATTGCACGCAGCCGGGTCTAAAAAACCGTTTATATAATATTTATATTATATTATTAATTATTATTTATAATATAATATTATAGAAACGAAATTCGCGAAAAAAAAAAAAATAAAAAAAACACACGCCGTCCGTTTATTCTCGACCGGTCCGCCGCGTCGCGTCGTATTGACCGGTCGGGGGCGGGTGGTCATGTAAGGTGGTTGGCGGACTGCGTGGAATCGCAATTCGCGAAACGCGCGACATTCCGGAATGGACGACGAGCACGCGCGGTGTGGACATTCGGTACGCCGCGCGTGCAGTCAAGTAGCCGAACACAATAACGTGATACAATTTACAATTGGCTGTCGAACGGAAAAACGCTTTCGGGTGACGTAACCCAACCGGCCGCGCTACGAAATATTACGCGAAAACAATGTTCGGACGTGTTTTACATACCTTGTAGTGGCCGCGCTGACGATGACGGTCCTTCGTGTCGCGTTTTGGAGACTCGGACGGCTCTCGACGAACCGGCGGCAGTGTGTCGCAATTATCGCCGCGCTGTCGCTGTAGCCCCGGACGGTTTTCGACGGGCTCACACCGGCGGACGGGCGAACGGGCTCTGCGGTCGCGCGCGCGTTTGTGCGCGTCTTGTCGCGGGGGGGTAGGTGCGGGCGGCGCGCGGGCGTGTGTGCGGCGTGCTGTGCGGATCGGCTGTCCGTTGTCGGGTGACTGACGGTCGGCTCGCCGTGGGCCACGGCTACCACCGGCAGATAAGGGTTGAAAGGCGCGGCGGCGGTGGCGAGGGTGGGTTCACAGTGCGCGCGGCGCCCATTGGTCGCCGCCGCCGCCGCCGCCGCCGCCGCCGCCCGCGCGATCGGCAGCGGAGTTTTTTTTTTTCTCCGACGTGGGGAGAGGGCGATGCGTTTGCCGCGCAGTGACGCGCGCGAGGGGAAGCGAGAAACGAAATAAAAAAAAAAAAGTTCACGTATAACCCCCTCCCGAAAATAATAACAATAAAAATCGTCCATACGTGCGGCGGCGACGGGTTTTTCGGCGTTTGCGCTGTCGTGACGCGTACGCGACATTGTCGGGCGATACGGCGGCGGCCGGGGTTTGACGCGCGTACGCGGCCTTTGCGCGTTTTTGATGGCACGGTTTTTACGCCGCCGGTGTGTTTGTGATGTCACACGCGGACCGTAATTAAAAACTAGAAGAAGGCGGTTGGGGAGAGAAGGGAAATAATAAAAACCGCCCGGGGCCGTTATTGAAAACATAAACCGCCCGCTCGCCCGACCGCCCGCCGCCGATTCACGACGGTCCGGAGACGTAAAAATTACACGATTATTATAATAATATTAAAATTGTCGTTTATGTAGAACAATGGGTACACCCGTAGGCGTCAGTGAACAATACGGATAACCGTCGAGATTCTCGTATACGCGACGCACAACAACGCAATAATTACTACTATATCGCTGTTTGGTTTCGATCTGGTGACCGAGACAACGCGGCCGGAGTAACGGACGGACAGTGGGGGAGGGAGATGGAAAAGGGTCGTGAAGGGGCGGGGCGGGGCGGGCAGGAGAAGACGTGATGGTAAAGACGCCGACACGACGTCACGAAAAGTGCCGCCGCGGTCGTAATATCGTCCGGACGGATTTTCGCGGGGAGGGAAAAAAAATATATTAAAAACCCCTAACGGGTACGGCGCGTATAGTTGTGTATTATTTTACGACGCCCTTTGTGGTTGTTTTTCGTCCGCCGCCGCCAGTCGCGAGATTTTTTATTTACATTTAGATTTTTCTTGTCATTTTTGCCGCGACGTTACATCGTTCCGGGCCTGGGCCGTAGGCGCGCACAGCAACGGCCTTTTAGATTCCGGACGCGGAACGGCGACAGACGGAATCGGTTTTAATAATCGATTACCGTGTCCGTGGCGGACTCTTCCGCCGGATATCCCGCTCCGAACGAAAATCTTACTTACGAATACGGGAACTTTCCCGTATCGGTTTCGGTCTGTACGCATAACGGGCGCGGCGCGAAGGTCGTTTTTTCATTTTCGCTAAAACGGGAAATAACGGCGATTTGTCGAAACGATTTTCGTGCGGAATCACGAACAAATACGATAGCTTACAAAACACTCCGCTCAGCATCGTTTTTTCGTTTGCGATGCGTTTGTCGTCGCGTATATACGGTATTGTAAACTCTACACGTTATACACTAAATAATGTCACGAAATAGTGGCACGTCCATTATGGCAGTATCGGATTTTTTTTTTTTTGATATATTTTTACTTTGAACGTTTAAAATCCGAGTATAACACGCTAATGTCGGGTCGCGCCGAATATTCGCACGGAGATAAACTCGTTCGTCTGGAGTTAACATTATATTACAGTCTGTTGCGTAAGCCGTCATGTTTTAAATTTTATCTGTTGTTAAAAAATTTACTTTCTAGAAATTCCGTTATCAGTGTTTTGCGTTGCTTCCGCTGCCGGTACAGCGGAACCATGTTTATACGTTAACCGATATTTCGGTAATATTCTTATGTTATTATTTATAATTATCATGCCGAACTATCACTACTATAATACTGCGGTATCGCACAAACTATGTAATGTTTCTACACGATCGTTCACTAACAACAAACGAGGTATACGAGCGGTTACCGGTTTAGGGGACCCATCTGAAACTTAAATTACTCGTTAATTTGCGTTTAAATTTTAAATTCGCTGTACAGCGGTACAAAACGTTAGGGCGTGCGGTAGACATTTCTCGCGACCGCACCTCGACATTTTCGCCCTCGTCCGTATTGTTCCTGGCGGTTCGTACGAAATGTAAACCGACGGCGCTTTCGCCTTGTGCCTGCAATACGTACCATTCGATCGTGTAGACGTCATATTCTGTGTACAGCGTGTTATAGTAGCCGCGACTCAATTACAACACAAATTGGACGTGTATAGTTTCACGAAAATCGATATTGCCCAATAATGCGTTAAACGTTTTAATATTTGTTCAGGCGTACGGCGGCAGATACGCTATGACGAAATCGTGTACAGTTCACTGTCGCTAGTAAAAAAACAACAGCGACATTAACAATAACGACGGGAAAAACTATACACGATACCGATAAGGGAACCGAGTACACTCGTACAGTAATCCCGTCGTATACATATAATTGGCTCGCGACAATAATGATTATTATTGTAATAAATATTGTACGCATTGTGTGCCGTCCGTATAGTTGTAATTCGTGTGCATACAGAGTGTGCGTACGCGTGCACCCGGATTTATCCGTTTCCCATAAGCGATCGCACGGGAAATTGTCGAGTCCCGCAAACACACGCCGTATGTTATCATCATATACTCAATACGCTTTTGTATACTTACCGGTATAGGGTATAGGTTAGTATTGAAAGCGGCGATCGCCTCCTCCCGTAACCGTTCGCTCTCCGACGTACTCAGCTCAGCTCTCAGCTCGTCATTGAGTTCGTCATAAATGCGTCCCTTACACGCGTGTTCAAAATTTCCCCCCTTCCCTCCCCCCGTTATCGTGTTCTGGATCTGCCCCCACGCGTTAAAAATTCTTTCCTAACAACGATTTTTATGACAGTCCTACGGTAAATCGTCGTATATGAGCGCTTATTACGGCGATGCGAAATTACCGGCAATTTGTTTCCGGATCGATTGTATTGCATTGTATTGATGCGATAATATTGCAAAATGTAATTTATCGCTACCGAATCGAATACAAAAGTATACCGTTATCGTCGAAATTTAAAAATACCGCTATACCGAACAAACTGAATCCCGAAAAAAAAACACGGACAAAAAGAACAACAACTTTAAAATTTTGAAGATATTAAATATTAAAAATATATAAAAAAAAAAAAATGATATGTTATAATTTTTATTATAACACTAGAACATTTTGACAGACTAAATTTAGTTCACTCAAATAATAGCATGAGAGATTATGGAAGGGGTGAGAGTATGAGAGTAGGTAATTTCAATGAACGAAAGAAATTAAAAATATAATGCAGCTACTCATTATTTTGAAAATAATTTTTTTAAACATACTTTTTTACAATTGAAAACCAACATTTTTCATGAGAAATATATTTTTTATATTACAATGTTTTTAAAAATTCTATTTAACATTTTTGATAATTTTCATAATTGATTAATGTATTTAAAATTTTAAAATTGTTGGTATTTTTTTCCGTGTTCTCTTTTGCATGTTCGTTTTTTTTACCGATTACCTTCTGATAATCCAATATCGGATTATAATGCATCGTAAATATTGTAATTTGTAATCTTTTCGGCGAACGATAATATTGCGTAAAATTATTAACGGAACACATTTCAAAACATTTACTGTAATCGGTATGACCACTGACAACTGACAGCCGTATTATGATTATTATATTAATATATTATTATAAATAACGATTATTGGGGATTTAAATAAAACCGATTAAAAAATAAATTATACTAGTAAAACGGTAAAACGATTTGCATTATTATTACTTACTTTATTACTTTATTACCGAGGTAATATTAGGGATTTACATTGTACCAGCTTTCTTGCGAATCTAGAAAGAAAAAGAAAAAAACTATACCCACATTTTGTTCGATTTGATTTTGAAATAATATGAACAATGTGTCAAATCACAGCATGCAAGTCACGAGGCATTTGCGCCTGTAATTTTATAAGAGATTTATCGAACAAAATCGTTCGATAATGATTTTTCTTCGAAAATCCCGGTTTTAAATATTATTGGTCTGCCGAAGAGTTTAAGAGTTTGTATAACATGACAGTGCGATGTTGTATAATTTTCGAAATTCGCCAACGTATAATAATTGGTACGCGTAGTGTTTATTGTTACGATTCTATTTTTTCGAATTATTATACCTGTTGTGCCGATAAAAACATTTCGGGATATCGTGGGTACGGTGACGTCGGTGGGATCAATCGGGAACGCTTCGGATTTTATACAGGAAAAAAAAACACAAACAAACAACGGGACATAACGGCTGCAGAGGTCGGCAAAGAGAAGACCGTACACACAGTATAATAGGTCCCTACCGAGAATCAACATCGCCGGGCACCGCGTTTTTATAATCGTAAAGACCACCGCACTCCAATAAAATATTATAAAAAAAACAAAACAAAAAAGATAAAGAAGTCGAGAAATGTGTATAATTGTATATCATATAGTATAAAAAACACGATCCCCGGTAACAATATGATGAATATTACCTGCAGTTTAATTCGTGCTAAACTGCAGTATCAACAAATAGACAATATTACCCAATTCGGTTATTTATTGCAATTGGATTTCGTTCGATTGTGTGCGGCGACGTGGGAACGGAAATTCCCGAAATTCCAATTGTCGACGAACAGCGTTGTGGATTCTGACCGCTGCGAGGAATGTATTGGTTTTGGATGATATGAGAGTTATTTTTTTTTATGTTTGCGACAGTACATACGCTTATCCAGAATTCTTTTTCGAGACGGTCGAGTCCTAAAAAACGATTTACCAAATAGACGCAATATTAAAAAAAAATCATTGTGTGTTTTTACTATCAAATTTTACAATCTTCTGATCCACTCGCTGAAAATGCCCGAGCATATTGAAATTGAACATTTTGTCGACGCGTTCAAAAGTAGATAAACTTTTAATAAGTATGTTATTGGGCAATTTATAACTTTCAATAACCATACAATTGACATTACGATCGAATAAATACATAGGCATAATACAAATATCTAATCATTGTTAATTAATTTATACAAATTATTGTAGATTTGCAGATTTATAAATTGAATTTATAATAGACGGTTCGGACATATTTCGTTTCAAACGGGAAAACGTTCGGGTTTCTTTTTTGGCAATGTATTGACTATATTATTATTATTATTATTATTATTATTATTATTATTATTATTACTACTACGAATACCTCACCGACACGTTGAAATGTTGTTGATTATTCCGACAGAAATTCGAATTTTAAAAAACCGTATAACACGTAGTCGTATAAATAATAGCTACTAAAAAAAAAAAACAAAAATAAAATTTCGACATGTAAGACGGTATCATATTACGTCTCCCCGGTGTCCCGGCCGTGAATACGCCTCCGAATCTACACGTACATCCGTGACCTAACCTCCGTCGGAACGTGTCCTCGTCCGTATATATTGTGTCGGCGATAAAACTACACACTTAATAATTTGTACGCGCGAATCGATCGGGAGACCGGCGACACGAGGGGCGTCGGGCGCCGTACGTGCCGCGGTTGTTCCCGGAGCCCTACAGCGGCGGCGGTGGCGGAAGCAACGGCGGCGGCGGAAGCCGCGGCAGCGACGACGAAGCCGGGGCGGGCGGGCGATGCGCGCGTATGACCCCGCGGGATCATCAGCGGCCGGGATTAGGCGGTAGGAGCTGCGGAGCGGCGGCGGCATCGTCGGTGCGGCAGTACGGCGGCCGCGCGCCGCACCAATGGCGGGCCGCGGGCGCGGACGGGTGTTGCCGCCTACCGACGCGGCGGGGAGTGGCCCACGGAGCGGTGCACGCGGCCACCGTCGCCGCCGCCGCCTCAGTGCCCCGCTCGTCGTCAGCTTCCTTAAACGTACACCGGCCACAGCAGCACTACCAGCAGCAGCAGCAGCAGCAGCAGCAGCAGCAGCAGCAGCAACAGCAGCCGCGCCGCGCCGCCACCGTTGTGCTCCAGTTATCGCGCCGCCGCCGACGACATCCTTGCAGTCGCAGTCCTCCGCTGTTGTCGTTTCGCGCACAAGCACACCGTGTCCGGCCGTTTCCCGGTTATTTGCCGAACGGGCAGCGGCGTACAATACAATAGAACGCACTGTTGTTAACAGTTCGTTCGTCGTTCGGCCAGCTCCATAATATTGCATTAAAATATTATAGGTAAATAATATTTGACATAATATTTTCGGTTCGCCGTAATATTTTACGACGGTAATAGCAATTAGCCGCGCAGTCGTTGTCGAAACGTTCGGAAAACCGGCGCCGATACGTTTGTCCCGCGTGTAGACACAATAATGTAACGTCGCGATAACGCGTGCTCGTAAATGGGGGGAAAAAAAAAACAAATCGGAACGAATTCAGTTAACACGGGAAACGCGCGTACAATACACGCGTCTCGTAGATAGATTCGACTCGAGAGGGCGGACGACACGAAAAGAGAGCCGCGTGATTTACGACTGTCCTGTTGTGTCCGCAAAGGATTGCCGTGATGTAGGGGCGACGGCTGTCGTCGGCTACAGTCCGGGTCGACCGCGGCCTCCCCCGTCCCGCCGACGGACGCGTTTTACACGTACCGTAGGTACGGATACGCTCCGCGCGGACGTGAACGAGAGATTTCGTCGTTAGGAAATGTCGTTTTAAACACGGTCTGTCGCAACGATAACTGAGAATAATAATAATAATAATAATATTAATAAAACATTTTTAATAATTACAACAACAATAATATTATCGACGGGTTACAGGACGCGCGGGCAACGTCGGATGAATCTGGTGTCCAGGTATTACGGCGCGGCGGTCGTGTCGTCGCCGTCGGTCGGCAAGTCGGACGAAGAACGGACCGTGGACGTCGGACGGCCGGACACTCCGCCGCCGCCGCAGCAGCGACCGACGATGGCCGGTCGCCGAGCCGCGGCCGCCGGCGGCCGTCCGGCGACTGCGGTGGCCTGCAACGTCGCCGCGGCCAACGCGGCCGCGCTCACCGCCTGGCTGAACCCGGAAGCGTTTTGGCGCGACACCGATCAGTGGCGCAACGTGCTGGTCAACTACTATCACATGAACAGGGCGGCCGCGCGGTCGTCCCGCGGGCGCGGTTCCGCCGCCGCCGCCGTCGTGCCCTATCATCCGTCCGCGGCGACGGCCGTCGCCGCGGGCCGGAAACCGTCGGCCGCCCGGCCGTCCGCGCAGACGCAGCCATCCGGGTCGTCCCGTCCGAAGAAACGGTACATATGCACGTACTGTCAGCGCGAGTTCAGCAAGTCGTACAACCTGCTCATACACGAGCGCACGCACACCGACGAACGGCCGTACCCGTGCGACGTTTGCGGCAAGGCGTTCCGGCGGCAGGACCACCTGAGGGATCACAGGTACCGATATCACGCGCCGCCGCGGTGACACGGCCGGGTCGTTATTTATCGCCGTTTTAACGTCGTCCGTTTTTTTTTTTCTCCCCCTCCCCCGCCGCAGGTACATACACGTCAAGGAAAAGCCGTTCAGGTGTCCGGTGTGCGGCAAGGGCTTCTGTCAGTCCAGGACGCTGTCCAGTCACCGGAGCAACCGGAATTCCATATGCTTGGACACGGCCGTTTTGCAACAGCAACAACAACACCACGCGGCGCACCCGCATCAACGGGGCGACGCCGCCGGCAACGTCCGCAGGCCCAAAACGATCACGGACTTCTCCATCAATTCCATACTGAACCTGCAGTGACGGAACGGCCGCGGTCCGCGTCGATTTTTCTATTCTTTTTTTTTCTTTTTTTTTTTTTCTAATCATTTATTATACCCTCGAATTTTTTTTGATCTCATGTGCGCACGCGTGTCGCGTGTCGTTCGGACGTGTTATTATGTTATATAGAGACTATATTATTATTGTAATCAAATTAATTATATTAAGCACTTGTACATTATATTTTATAATATTATATTCTCTTTCTATCTGTCTTTCTCTATCTCTCTCTCTTTGTGTGTGTCCACCTCCGTTTATGTGTCGCACGCATATTTTCTACTATTCTGTTTTGTCACGCGGCCCCCGGAAATCTTCGCGCCGGTACGTGCGCCGCAATGCCATAACATTGCGTACGTCCGCGCGCGTATGGCCCGTCGTGACTTTGTACACGCCCGTGTTGTTACGAGCTTACGCCGTCCAGTGTGTTTATCGTAACGTCGCGGTTAATTTTCGTTTGTTTTCTGCTGCACTCTCGTTGCATTGCCGTCCCATTTTTACGGCAACACCGCCCGCCCGCCGTCGATTCCCGTCCGTCGTCCCGCGATTGTTATGCACCGCGTACCTGCCCGACAAAACGTCGCATTCCGTTTCGGGGACCCGCGGGTTTTTCAAACGACACGAGTGACGCGCGGCGGAACCAAAACCGGACGGTCCTGGACGTGAATTTTCCATGCGCCGTGCGCGATTTTTGTAACGAAAAAACATCGACCGCGGACCGACCGACGCGACCCGTTCGGCAGTAACCGTCGGACGACGCGTGTTTTCCGCGACCGTACCGCACCGCCACGAAATGTTCGGGTGCGACGCAACCGCGAGTCGTCCGGTACAATCGCACGACGCGCGCAATATAAACTACAATGTGATACGATTGATCATTTTTCAACCTTCCCGTTCGTCGTGTTGCACAGCCCATACGGTCGGTTTTGTTTTGTTTTTTTTTTTTTTTTTTTCTGTACGCCAAAGACGTTTTTTGAAAAACGAAAACCCGCGTGTATAATATTTACGCGCCTCATACCCGCCCGCCGTGTACACGACACACGACACACTGCAAAACGCGACGTGCGCGTAATAAACGCACGCGTACGGACCGGCGCGTAATGCGGACGGGGTATTTTGCGCTTTACGGTTTTTCCTACCGCGGCCCCCGCGCGCCGTTTATAACGTTAAGCCGGTATTTATGTCGGCGGCGTTAATCGGACCGCGCGGTACACACCGGAGAGTGGCACAGCAGATGTTCGCCACGGCGAAAAGCCGGAGCAGGTGGTCGCGACGACGCGAGTGCACCGCGGGCCCGTAATAACACCGTGCCTGCCTGCCTACCTACCCGTAATAATAGACGTACGATCGCGACGGCCGCGGACCGCCTCGTATTTACGGGAAAAAAAAAAAACGAAAACTAAAACGATATTAATTCAATATCGCGCCGGTCGTGTTATTACGCCCGGTGTCGGCGCCGGAGCACGCGGTAATAATATCATAATATCCTCGAGCCGAACACGGTAGCGGGCCGCGGCGCCCGGGTCTCCTTAATTGGATAATATCGTTGGTTCGTATGTTACGGTGCGATGCGCAGTTCCGTCGCCGCGCGATATCATTACGATTATTACCCGGGGCGGCCGCGTGATTTAACAACGGCGGAAAAAAAAAAAAAACAAAACAATACGCCGGGTAATCGGGAGATTCGTTACGCGGCTCCGTTTGTACAACGCGCGCGGCTCGCTGTAGCACGCGCCCCCGCGCCTGCGCCGGCCTACGGACGGCACGCGCGTGTACGCGTTCCGGTCAGTCGACGCCCACGACGCTCCGTTTTCCGCGTGCCCGTGCGCCGGCCGGCGTTTCGGGGCGCCGAAAGTTATCCAGCCGTCTGCCCTCCTTCACCCGCCGAGAGCAACACGGTTTTGTACGCGGCGGCGGCGTTCGGACCGTCCGGGAAATAAGAAAACCGTTCGGTTATACCGGCGCACAAGGTTTCCTTTTGAAAACAATTTCACCCCCGGTATAATCACATCCTTTTCACAATGTTCCCGTCGCTATCGTTCCCCCGTAATCGAATTATCGCAAAAAAAAAAACCCGCAGCCGTTACGCTCATGATTGAATTATTTTCCACGTTACTTTTTCTTCACGTTGACATTTTTGAACTTTGAACAATAAAGACGGAAGGTTCCGAGTGTCTACTGTGTCGGAATTCGAAGGCATGTGTACGGCGTGATAACAAATAAGTATGGACTGTGGATAGGTGATAATGATATTATATTATGTATTCAACTGCGAGTCAACGAATTCCTTGATATACCGGTATAAAACAGTTTGGTACACCGGTATAAAATAAAAGATACCGGTGTTATCTGTTTTTTTTTTTTTTTTACCCGAACGATGTCGTTACGTTTAGCTTCTGAATTTTTTCGGTAAGTACGTATACGTAGATAAAAATAAGCCGGGCAAATCCGTCGAGGAGTGATTCAACGAGTCTACACAACACGACGCGATATTCTGTCGAGTTGTAAAATTGAACACAAAGAGCCGCCCGCTGTACGTTATCGAGAAGGCTTCTCGCCTTTAAAAAAAACCATCAGATATCGCGTCGTTAGGTTATTTCCGAGGCCTGTCAAAGGCTGCGGTATAGGACACGGGCTATCGGTTGACCGTATAATGAGCCGTCGGTTATTAGTACGCTTTAGAGGGAATGTATAGGCGATAGAGACGAATAACACAAAACTTTTGGGCCTGTAGAATATAAATATTTTCCGGGCCATTTTTATTTGGTAGTCCGATTTATGTATCGTTAGAAAGTTCATCAAACGGAGTTTTTTTTTTCTTTTTCTTTTTGTCGAATTTTCACCGAGATTATTATACACACTGTATTGTGTCGGTTACATTGCGAACATATCTTTTTCCCGGTGTATTTTGATACTCTTTAACGGCTTCTTCGGGACTCAAACCCGGGAATTAGAACGTTTTTCTTTGGGCGGTTGTTTTTTGTAGCTCTGTACACTCCTACAGACCCCATCAAATGAATCAAGGGGAATACAATTTCGTATATATATACACACAGTGTAAGTATTGATGACGTGCCATTTAGTAATTTCAACTTTCAGTCCCCTGTCTAATCATTTTTTATGCTCAAATTTCATGAAAACTGGATTCAAGTATATCTGTTTGCGAACGAATTTTCCACAGAAATATCGTTTCGGTCTTCAACTGAAAAAGGATGCAGGTAACAATTTTTGATCATTTTTATAACGGGGTCAAAAAGGTTTTATTCACAGAAATTGAAAACATTATACACGAGACGTAATGGTTTTTACGATTTTCGACGAAATATGAACTTTCGACGTTCATTTAAAATAAACAAATAAAAATAAAACCGTAAACGGATATTCGATATCTTTATAATGTTAGAACATTCTATACTATGAACGTTGTGTCGATCATTTTTCTTATAGCGAAACAATTTTATTCGCATAATATCGAATAATAAGAAAAATATATATAAATTATCAAACAGTTAAAGCTAACTCAATAAAAGGCAGATTGGATTGACAATTGTATCATAAAATCCAGAAATATCTAAAATATAAGTACCTACTCTGTGAAAACTGCACGGCTTTACGGTTATTTTCGAAAGTCGAAAATAACAAAAACCGTCGTCGCGTTAATATTCCTTTTGTCGCGATTATTGAGAAAACTACAAGTGGATTGAAAAAATAACCACCCCAACGCGCACCCGTTAGACAAAATTGTCTATACCAGAAACGACTCGTCTGAAAGCGTTGATCGGGACAATATTTCACGGTAGAAAAGTGGTTTACAGGAAAAATAAGCGCACGTCATGAAGTAAAACCGTACCTATAATACCGACTATACTTTCCTCATCGCCACACTCAGCGTTTAAAATAATAATAAAAAAATTGTACTATCTGCGTCGTAATTTTTATCTCATTATATAAAAAAAATAAATGAATTATCTGTACCTAATAATATAGTTGTAAATAATTATTGCGAAAAAACTTTATAGTAATATTATTATTTTTTTTTTAATATAAGGTGATTAAAATTAATAAAGTATTTAAAAAAAAAAAAAAAAAAAGAAAACGAAAATAGTGTAATAATATAATCGGCTATATTATATTGAAATTATTATGCTATTATATCATTTTAGTAATTTAATAATGAGAAAAAAAAAAAAAATTACGATACTAACAAATTAAAGTAACAGCTTCAATCGAACTGATAAACGTGATCGCACATGTGGTACTGCACAATATAATCATTCGTTCTGTAACGATTTTCTGCAGTTTTCTAATATTCACGGTAGTGTAAGTATGCATCTACAAGTTTACGCGATACTGTCTGGGTAAGGGGAACAAAGTTCCCATTGTTATTTACGGTAAAACTGTCGGCCCACATTATCACTTTGAATCTTTGAAGCCCGGCGGGCGAGGCAGGACGCTCGAGTTATCGTCACTGAGATATTTTCAATGACATTTTATAAACTCGAAGTAGTTTTATTAAAAATACAGTTCTTTAATATGTTTACATTAGACGATACGTGATTAGACTCTGTTTTTTCTACTCAGTAGGCATGTGTGTAGGATAGTATTCGAGGGGGAGGGAACGAGAGGGTAACATACGCATGAACCGTATGCCCGTGAGAGAAAATCATTTTGAAAGTCTTGTCTCCGTGACGGGTTTTCAGGAAATTTCGGTTAGGTTTATTTAATACTCGAGAACGCCCCTCGATTTTCGGTATATTTAGTCCCTCCCCCCACCATTTGAATATTCTCCCGTTTCTACCACCGGATGCTATGACATGAAGGGGAGAGGGGTTCATACCCCGTTTAAATCCGCTCCCCGGGAGGCCTATAAAATAGTATGTAATTTACTGAAATCAATAACTTATGAACTTTTAAATACAAAGTTGATTAAAATAATAATAATTGCGTGCAGTGACGCAACAACGGGGGTGATCCCGGATTCGGACCCTCTCTAATAACCCCTCCGACCGTAAAAGTGTATAGTACGTACATGTACCAGATTTTTTCTTTAGATGAAATGTTTACGTGTAAATATGTACGGACAAGGGTG